GTGACCCAATCTTAGATGACTTGAAAAGATTTATTGAAGAAAAAATATACAACGCTACTTTGGAACTTCGGCATGAAGTGAGAGATCTGAAATCGCAGATCGAAGATCTGTCTTTGATTAATACAGAGCTTGCTGCTTTGGTGAGTTCGAGTGTGGGAGCTGTAAATGGTGAAACGAATTCTGATATACGTGATTCAAACATTGACCGTTCAACATTTTCAAATTCATCCGAGAATACTGTGTTACACACGGAAACAATTTCACAGCAAAAACCTTCTGAAATAACTAACAAAGGTGCAAGACGTAAAAAAGTGAAAAGAGCAAACAACACACCAAATGTGGATACGAATCTGGAAGCCACCGGTCTCTCAGGAGTTCAATAAATCGGAGACAGCAAGTGTTATCATTGGTAAACATTCGGTTGATTTTTCAGATAAATTACATGCATCGTCTAGAAAAATTTGGATGTACGTGGGTAGGTGTAAAAGTACGACTACTAAACAAGTAGTCGTCTCGATTCTCTTTAAGAGATATTTTGCGGGAATATCTCTTAAAGAGAATCGAGAATCCTGAATGCGTGTTTGATATCGAGAAATTGAATTCAAGAGGACTGAACTCATCTTTTGAAGTGGGTGCGGATATGACTATGAAGGAGCAGCTTTATGATCCTGAATTTTGTCCGACTGGTATTCTTGTGAAAGGGTACTTTTTTCGGGCAAGAGCTGTGCAGGCCAGTGTCTTATAAGAAAGCCAAGACGAAGGTGGACAATGGTGACAAATCAGACTTGAAGATTCTTCATTTGAACGCGCAGAGTCTCCCAAATAAATTGAACAAACTTGAGGTGCTACTTATGGATGAAGCACCCGACATTATCAGTGTTGTTGAACACTGGTGTACTTCTGATGGCATTGCATTTATGTCGACTCCCGGAAATGAGTTGGCCAACTACTTTTGTCATATAAATCATAAACATGGGCTTGTGCGCTGTTCGTTCGGAGAGATCTTTCGGTGTCGAGTGTTGACGTTTCTCAATTTTCGGAAGGAATGTCATTTGAATGTTGTGCTGTGAAGTTGCCCTTCAATGGTGGGTCTGCTTGTGTTTTGAGTATATATCGATCACCCGGTGATGTGAACTTTCGAGATTTCTTGTTGAGATTGGATCTAACATTATTGGATCTAATAATTTTGGATCATGTACGTGAATATGACTATTTATTTCTTTGCGTTGATTTGAATATAAACTATCTTGTTGACACTATGCAGAAGAAGCTGCTTGTAGACCTATTGATGGGATACAACTTAATTGTGAGTTCTTTAGAACCAAATAGAGTGTAACCAATAATGTAACAACGTCAACAAAGGTTGACTATATTTTGATTAATTTTGATGCTCCTTATGTTAGAACAAATGTTTATGAGGCGGGTTTTAGTGGCCATAGAGTTTTTACAATAACTTGTGAACATTATAGTAAATATAATAAATCTAATAATTTTAGAATATACAGAGACTTGTCGAATGATAATATAAGTAATTTCTCTAGTTTAGTGAACGAGACTGACTTTGGTGAGGTTTATCACCATAAAGATGTTGATATTGCTTTTAAGGCATTTTGTAATTTAATCTTTCATAATTTTGACAAGTACTGTCCTATTTTATGTTCATATGGTTCTAGTGATTGCAGACCACCGGGTTGGATTTCACCTGATATAAGAAAAGCTAGCCAGGATCTAAAAAATTTGTATTGGTTGTGTAAATGTTTGAACACTGTAGAATCTTGGCATACTTACCGAGTGGCTAAAATAAATTATAAGGATATGCTTGCTGGTGCTAGGAAGTATTACAACGAAACCCTAATCCGCCATTCTAACAATAGAATGAAAACTGTTTGGAATATTGTTAATCGTGATCTTGGCAGGTGTACAATTCATCGCCCAAGGAAGCTTGTTGTAGAGTTGTAGAGAAGGTAGAGTGCACACAGTTCCCAAACATGTAGCAAATCTTTTTGGTGTATATTTTGCCAACGTGACAGAGGATCTACTTCAGGATCACTTTGGCATCAGTAGATCATCGTCCTGTACCGTTTCCAGGATGAATATTCGATCGTTTTCCTTCCAGCCTGTTACTTCATATGAGGTCATCTCTACGGTGGCTGCCTTGAAGAATAAACCTAGTGCGGGTCTTGATGGCATATCGATTAAGCTCTCCATTAGTGCTGGGAAGTTTCCAACTTCATTAAAAACAGCAATGATCGTACTTATTCTCAAAAAGAGTAATCCGGAAGACATGGTCAATTACAGGCCAATATCTATTTTGAGTTTTTTTCTAAAATCTTCGAAAAGATTGTGTATAGCAGATTGTGTGACTTTTTGTCAAAGTACAATATTCTCTCTGAAAGTCAGCATGGTTTCCGTTTGGGTAAATCTACCCAGTCCGCTGCCAGTAGTCTGGTTGAGTTTGTTTGCATGAATCTGGATGAGGGACAGTATGTAATGGGCATTTTCTTCGATTTATCCCGCGCTTTTGATACTATCGACTTCGGTTTCGTAAGGTGCAAACTCTATAACTTGGATTCAGGGGTGTAATTTTGGAGTGGATATGCGATTATCTTGCTGACAGGCGGATGACAGTCAGTGTTGATGGCTTCTTCTCTAAAATACATAATTTGTCTTCTGGTGTTCCTCAGGGCTCCGTTCTGGGACCATTAATTTTTTTGCTTTTTGTCAACTACTTACCTCAGCACATTAATGCTGAATTGTTGACTCTGTTTGCTGACGACACCTCAATAATTGTCACAGCGCTCACTCATGACGAGCTTATTATTAAGACAGGGGAAATAATAAAATGTTTCAATAACTGGTGCAGCAAGAACTTCCTTGTAAGTAATGCTTCCAAAACGCAGTATGTGCATTTCTCCTTTCGGAATAATATGGCCAATATGCGGTTCATTTATAGTGGAACAGGCTATACTTCTGCCAATTGTGTTAAGTTCTTAGGAATTTATGTTGACCAGAACCTGCGCTGGTCTGACCATGTTGATTATGTGAGTAAAATACTTAACAAATCGAGATATGCCTTGTCACGCATAAGTGATTCCATGCCACTCGAATCTTTTTTAACTGTGTATTATAGTTATGTTTATTGTCATATGTCTTATGATGTTATTTTCTGGGGGAACTCTACTGATAGTTTTAGAATTTTTTTATGTCAAAAAAGAATTATCCGTACTGTGTTGAATTTACCTCTTAGGGAATCTTGTAGGCAACATTTTATTAGACATAAAATTTTGACTTTCCCATGTATTTATATTTTAAACTGTATTTTGTACATTAAGGACAACATCAATTCATTTAAAACTCATAGTGCGGTTCATAGTTACCCAACGAGAAATAACGACTTACTGGCTCTCCCTAAACACAAAACTGCTAAATTTCAACAGGGTCATATATATCAGGGAATTAAATTATACAATCATTTACCTGTGACCCTCCGTCATCTTAACCTGATATCCCTAAAAAAATGCCTCAAAAAATTGTTATTATCCAAGGGTTATTATGGCGTTGAGGAGTTTATGATGGATGATACATACTATTTGGCATATATAAAATATATACATATATAAAATATTTACAGGCCACACAAGTTGTGGCCTGTAAATATTTTATTTTATACTCATTTTATCTGTATTTTGTATTTTATACTAATTTTATATTTTATGTATGTTTGTATTTTGTAATTTATAGTAATTTTATATTTTATGTATTTTGTTCTATTCACAATTCTCTTGAATCGACTTATCCTATACATTTGTCAGAAGTCTTGAAGGATTAATAAATATTATTATTATTATTATCATTATTATATGCGTTATATTTAATTCATGTTACTTGAGATTATTGCTGTTGCTATTGCCCAATCGAAAATGCCTTCAGGATTGAAAGATAAATATTGAAACTTTTCAAATTCTCTCCTCTTTTTGAGGATATTTATATTTTTACTTGTGAAAACCAACTCTCAAAACAATAATGAAAATTAAACGAAATTAAATGAAATGAATTGTAAAATTGCAATGAATATAATGGAGTTTTGAGCGGAAAACTCATTTTTAGGTCCTTTTTTGTTAATAATGGTAGTCGAGTTCGAATAATTGAAACAATATAGAATGAAAGATTCTCACGAAAAACCTGTACTTACACAAATTATCAGGAAAATAATGACAATAGTTCACCATATAAAAATGAATTCAGTTCATTTAATGAAAATGAATAATTTTTAAAATAATTCATTTCATTTAATGTCAGAATAGATGAATTTCTGAAACATCAAAGAGAAATTAGTTGAGATGTATGACATTCAAGAATTTATAGTATCGGTGAATCCTTGAAGGAACAATACATAAAACCCTGTACACTCTTACGGCTGAAATGAAAATATCTTCTACTTGAGCTCATTAACATACTCATTATGTGTTATTCTTTTGATGTATATTTATTTATTCTTTATATTTGAGATGATGATTCGTCTCAACAAGACGTGGTGAACAGTATTGAGGATGAATTAAATGAAATTATATACGAGAATGATAAAACACTGCTAAAATAGATTCAAAACTGCGGCTTTGTTTGAATATGACATAAAATATTCGTGTTCAATCATTCGCACATGTGAACGATCGAGTAAGTAGGTTACGTCAAAATTGGAATTAGGTACGTATATTATATTCAAACAAATTGAACGAATATAATTGAATATAGGAAATTTTTATACGAACAAACATTGATTTGTCGATAGGGTTATTTTGTAGGTACATGAATTATGATGTAAACTGAAAACAAGCAAGGCGTAAAACACACACACATATATTATTATTTTTATATTATTACGATTGTTCTCCATGCAGGAGAGCTATTGAATTTGTATCATCAATTCTTAATAATTTTGCTTGATTATTTTGACTCTCAAAATCTCTTCACCCTCTTGAAATGTTTTTTCTTCTAGGCGGGTCTCCGTAGCTTAGTCGGTAGAACACCCGACTTCGGTGCGGAAGAACTCGGATTCGAGCCCCGATGCAGGCATGGGTGTTTGTGTTTGTCTATGATTTAAGTAGTTCAAATAATGAAATATGGTGGCTAATGTACATCGATTACAAACCCAATGGCCGTTCGGAACCGTCGTTAAACTGTAGGTCCACTGAGCTGAAAAAAATCTGTCCATTTCATTGCAGGTGGGGGCGTGGATTTTTGCCCAAACTTCACATGTGCATTTTAGAGCGACACGTTATTATTGTTAACGATTATAATGAGTAGTTTCTTAGGTATTCTGGACAGTTCCATTCAGTAGACATGTACATAGAACTTTGCTCGTCATTTTCCGATTTCTTCCTTTATTGTATTCGTCTTTTGATAAAGTTCATTCTGAGGTCTTTTCATCCATTCTATTTCTATTGATTGGCCTTTCTGAGAATTTTATGTTCTTGTTTTTCTATTTCCCTAATTCTTCAATAAACGTCAAAAACCATTGTCTAAGCTGCGTATATTGTTTCAGAAAGAATCGTTGTGTTATAATAACTCAATTTGGCAGCCGCTCGAGATGCACTTTTTATTATAGTATGTTAGCTTGTTGGCTCATCGGACCTTGCTAATTTTTTGTTCATTAGCGACTTGGTTTGAAACTGAGAACTGTATAATTTCTGCGAGATTTGTTAGCTTGTGGGCTCATCGGAGCTTGGTAATTCTTTGTTCATTAGCGATTTGGTTCGAACCTGAGGACTGTATAATTTCTGCGAGGTATGTTAGCTTGTAGGCTCTTCGGAGCTTGGTAATTCTTTGTTCATTAGCGATTTGGTTTAAATCTGATGACTGTATAATTTCTGCGAGGCATGTCAGCTTGAAGGCTCATCGGAGCTTGGAAATTCTTTGTTCATTAGCGATTTGGTTTGAATCTGATGACTGTATAATTTCTGCGAGGCATGTCAGCTTGTAGGCTCATCGGAGCTTGGTAATTCTTTGTTCATTAGCGATTTGGTTCAAACCTGAGGACTGTATAATTTCTGCGAGGTATGTTAGCTTGTAGGCTCATCGAAGCTTGGTAATCCTTTGTTCATTAGCGATTTGGTTCAAACCTGAGGACTGTATAATTTCTGCGAGGTATGTTAGCTTGTAAGCTCATCGAAGCTTGGTAATCCTTTGTTCATTAGCGATTTGGTTCGAACCTGAGGACTGTATATATTTCTGCGAGGTATATTAGCTTGTGGGCTCATCGGAGCTTGATAATTATTTGTTCATTAGCGATTTGGTTCAAACCTGAGGACTGTATAATTTCTGTGAGGTATGTTAGCTTGTAGGCTCATCGGAGCTTGGTAATTCTTCGTTCATTAGCGATTTGGTTCAAACCTGAGGACAGTATAATTTCTGCGAGGTATGTTAGGTTGGGGGCTCATCAGAGCTTGGTAATTCATCGTTCATTAGCGATTTGGTTTAAACCTGAGGACTGTATAATTTCTGCGAGGTATGTTAGGTTGTGGGCTCATCAGAGCTTGGTAATTCTTCGTTCATTAGCGATTTGGTTTAAACCTGAGGACTGTATAATTTCAGCGAGGTATGTTAGCTTGCAGGCTCAACGGAGCTTGGTAATTATTTGTTCATTAGCGATTTGGTTTAAACCTGAGGACTGTATAATTTCTGCGAGGTATGTTAGCTTGTAGGCTCATCGGAGCTTGGTAATATATATATATATATATATATATATATATATATATATATATATATATATATATATATATATATATATATATATATATATATATATATATATATATATATATATATATATATATATATATATATATATATATATATATATATATATGTATATAATTATTTTAAGATTTATTGAACCAATTATTTACTGTTAGGGAGAACTAAGATTAAGATTTGTTAGATCTGGTGGAGTTGTTGTTTGATGCTCCAGAAAAACAATTGAATTTTATATATGATATATATATATATATATATATATATATATATATATATATATATATATATATATATATATATATATATATATATATATATATATATATATATATATATATATATATATATATATATATATATATAATTATTTTAAGATTTATTGAACCAATTATTTACTGTTAGGGAGAACTAAGATTAAGATTTGTTAGATCTGGTGGAGTTGTTGTTTGATGCTCCAGAAAAACAATTGAATTTTATATATGATATATATATATATATATATATATATATATATATATATATATATATATATATATATATATATATATATATATATAGATATATATATATATATATATATATATATATATATATATATATATATATATATATATGTGATATTGTTTAAGTTGAGGAAATTGTTATCCCACGCTCTGGCAAAGCCTTTGTGGGAATAGAGTAGTTTTTGTTTATTTACATTTTGGATTTGACAGTGGAAAAGTCATATTATAGAAAACAATGTGCCAATTTATATATTACAAAATTCTGTAGCCAATTTATGTTAAATAAACTATATTATTATATTATATTATTATTATTATTATTATATATATATATATATATATATATATATATATATATATATATATATATATATATATATATATATATATATATATATATATATATATATATATATATATATATATATATATATATATATATATATATATATATATATATATATATATATATATATATATGATATATAATTATTTTATCATTTATTGAACCAAGTAGATATTATTGTTAGGGAGAACTAAGATTAAGATTTGTTAGATCTGGTGGAGTTGTTGTTTGATCCTCCAGAAAAACAATTGAATTGTACTGAGGACTTTCAAACCTCTGGCGCCTAGCATTACATTTTTCTCACTTAATTAACCCACCCCATCTTAACTGTAGCTAAATGTGGTGTGGTACAATTCATTAACTGTCAGTTCTCGCTTAGTAGTCACTTAGGTTTTGAACTAGAGGTTAATCGCCGGTATAATTTTTGTGTGTGTGAGATCGAAGATGTATACATATATATATATATATATATATATATATATATATAAAGCAAAAGTAAGATATAACTTCAGGAGCCACTTCGGCGATATTACCAAAGAAATCAAAATATGTTTAAGTATATACAGAAGAAACTTCTTTCGAAAAAACGAAACAACTCGAGAAAGAACAATGGCGGGAGCAGGATAAACTCCACTGGGTAAGGCAAAGACAGGAGGATAAAAAGGGCGCATTAAATATGATGACAAATTTGGAGACAAGAATACGACCAGGAATTACGAGATACATCAAAATCGGAAATGAGTCAAATAAGGTGTAATTTTAAGAACGAATTAAGTAAGGTACAATACAATTTAGAGAAACGATCAGCCATTGTTGGAAGACAATAAGCAAAGTCAATTCAAGTGCCTCTCCACAAAAATTTCGAAGCCAAAACATTTAATGGAGAATATCTTGGTCCATCTACAGGAGACAGTTTGAAGCAGCAGCGTGTATAAACTGTTGGTCTGACAGTGAAAAAGCAGTGGAACTAGTTAGATCATTGAGAGGTGAAGCTGCTAAACTCCTGCAAAACTTGTCGTTAAAAGAACAAAACTATAGGTTATTATGCAGACCTCTGGAATTCAGGTAATGTAATAGCCATGGGAAGTTGCAGTAACATACTTAACTTGAAGGTAGGAGACAAGAAAGAAATGGAACCCTTCCGGAATTCCAAACTGAAATTGAAAAATTGACCCGATTGGCTCATCCACTAGCTCCGGAAAAAATAATGCAGTGTGAGATCTTTGGTTGGAGGATTAAGGGACAGTCAACTCATGCAGCGTCTACAACTAATTAGATCAACAACAAGGTGTGATGCTTCTGCGAGAGCCCTAGAATTCGAAACAGGCAAAGTTACAACAGATAAAGATCGGTCAAGTCATAAAGTTCGATAGGTACAAATAGAGGAAGACACAATAAACAAATCCCTTATTATGTTAAAACTCGATGAAATTGTCGAGGCTTTGGGAAATATAAGAGTGTCCTTTGAAGGGAAGTCTTATTCCTGTGGGAAATATGGGCACACAAAACGAAAATGTAGTTTGAGTACTAGTGGAACAACTGAATACAGAAGATTGGGAGCTAGATCGGTTTCTCCAGCCCCTACACTAAATCAAGAAAACTACCACCAGTCGGAGTAAAGGGGCAAGCAAGGGTAAAAGAAAATGACCCCAGGACCGTTTTCATTAGAAGCATGTCAAATGGCAGCTGCTGTGTTAATGGTATAATCTCAGCACCACTAGTGAAAATAATTTCGGATACTGTAGCAGAAGTAGCATTGGTTCGACCTGATGAAGTGAAGACCATAAATTTCATCATTATGATTACATCAATGTTATATTACTCTCAGAACAGCAACTGGTGAACGAGGCAACATTTATGGAGAATTGAATGACGTCTTTCCTAAACCTGATTTCTACATGTACATACGTGGTTGGTTAGCACGAATATATATATATATATATATTAAAGTATATATATATATATATATTATATATATATATATATATATATATATATATATATATATATATATATATATATATATATATATATATATATATATATATATATATATATATATTTCTTGAAATTGATTTATTGCCTGTTTAAGATATTTTATTTCGAAAGTTTTTAGCAATAACAGGCTTTTTTTTTATATGAAAAACTTTATTCTTGTTGACGTTTCGTTGTTATATAACAATTTTGTCAAAACTAATGAATAATTGAATTTATGAGTTACTATAGATATCAAATGTCAAACTAATGAATCAAAATAATGAAAATCAATAAGTGGAGATACAAAAAAACTAATTTGATTTTTCTAAAAAATGAGTTTGACATTTGATATCTATAGTAACTCATAAATTCAATTATTCATTAGTTTTGACAAAGTTGTAATATAACAACGAAACGTCAACAAGAATAAAGTTTTTCATATCAAAAAAAGCCTGTTATTGCTAAAAACTTCCGAAATATATATATATATATAT